CTTTCCCTGACAAGGACACCAAATGAGCCCAAGAAAAATGAATTCAGAGATAATATGAAGTAGCACCCTACTTACCTTAGAGGAGAAAAATCTGTGGAAACAGGTTCTTTTGTGGGCGGGGAGTTGAGGTTGAGACAAGTTCTCATATAGTTCAATCTGGCTTTGAACTCACTATGCAGCTGATGACTTTGAATTCCTCATCATCCTGCTTCAGGCTCCCAAACCACTGGAAACAGGTTCTTGTGATTGGATTATTCATTTTGCAGAGAGACTTTGGGCTTTTTGTTTTGGGGTTTTTGAGACAGAGACTTACTATGTAGCCCAAGCTAACTTGGAACTCACTATGTAGTCTAGGCTGGCCTTGAACTCTTGATGAGCCTCTTACCTCAGCCATACCAGCTTGGTTTACAGGTGTGTGCCACTATACCAGCTTACCTTGCAGCTTTTGAACTGGATTCATTGCTCTTCAAGTGCCTGACACAGTTCTGGGTGTGTTTGGTTTGTCTTTTATGGGATTTAAAATTCAGGATAGAACTTACTTAGTTAACCACAATTTTGACTTTGTTTCTGTTCAGCTTTATGAAAAGGGAAAATGAGTAGCCTGTTGGATAATGAGGTAGAGATCTTTGTGGCCAGAGATCAGCTGGTTTGGAGACATTCTGTGAAATTGTCAGAGGGGCAGCAGGAACATGATGAACAAAGAGTGGTTATATTCCTAGCTAGCTCCATGGTTGAAAGCTAGTCAGCCTTCCATCATTGTAGTTCTCTTTTAATGTACACTGTGGTTTAGCTTTTTGTAATGGTTAGAAGAAACAAGCTAGGGGCCAGGCATGATGGGGCGTGTCTTCAGTGTCCTCAGGAAGCCGAGGCAGGCAAACCTCCTGAAGTTCAAAGCCAGCCTGGTCTACATAGTGAGTGAGCTCCAGGCCAGCCAAGGCTATGTAGTGAAACAATACACCTTAAATTCCTGCACTCAGGAGGCAGAGGCAGGTAGATCTCAGACTTCAAGGCCAGCCTGGTTTACAGAGTTCCAGGACAGCCGGGGCTGTTGTTACACAGAGAAACACTGTCTCAAAAAAGCAAACAGAAAGTAACAAGCTAGCTCTGGGAGTGTAGCTCAGTAGTGGAAACATAACTGAAGGGATTTGTGTGGGTCACCCACCCAGAGGCCCACAATAATAGAGTTATGATAACATCACCCATCGTGTCCTCTTTATAGCTGATTTGAGAGGGTGTTGTGAAATTTTGCTGGGTCTCTAGAGGTGGGAGACTGCTCTGATCTGCTCTTCTTTTGGACTGTTCCAGAGGGCTGATCTGGGCTGGGCCATGGGAGGGCATTGGGCAGCAGGACAGGCTCAGCACCTTCTTTGCTCATTAGTGACCTCACCTTGAACTTCCTTTCTGTTTTCTTTCAGGAAAGCCGGGATGGGCGAGTGGACAGCTGGCGAAATTTCCAGGCAAATACAAAGGGGAAGAAGGAGAAGAAGAATCGGACCTTCCTTCGGCCGCCAAAAGTAAAAATGGAACAGCGAGAGTGACCCTCAGGGCCACAGCCTCAGCCTTCCCCGGCTGCCTCCTTCCGCTTCAAGGACTCATTCTTTCTCCACCTCCACCCGACATAGAGTAGCGTTTGCTTTTTAGTCTATTTTGTTTTCAATACAATTTAATATCAATCAAAGTAATTTGTACTTGAGGGGAGGGGCTTGGTCTAACCTTCCCCTCTCCTCGCCCACGGAGCCACCAGGATCGGAAGGTGCCACTGACTCGTGCTGCCTTCTCTTCCCACAGCTGTAACTTAATGTTTTGTATTCACTGAATTGTGGTGGCTCGAAGGTCATGTATAGTTTGTGGAAACCCTCCAATTAAACGTCTTGCTTACAGTGGTGTTGCCGTGACTCCAGACCAGCTTTGGCCACCGTGGGAATCCCTTTGCTTTTGGGCGTGCTGTCCTTGAAGCCCTAGATCCAGTAGGAGAGGCACTGTGGACTCCTAGGGCAGCCACTTGATGCCCTGATGGATGTCCTGTGGTGTTTGGCACGAGTCCTCTGACCAATCAGCCAGCCAGAGTGGTATGAGGCCATCAGCCACTTAAACCTGTTCACTTTCCAAAGAGTTAGCCATCTTCCAGCCAGTCCCACTGTGTCCTCGCTTGTCTGCATTCATTAGTGGTAATATTCTTTTACGTATAATAAATTTTTATACCCAAGCCTTTGATGTTCTCTTCCTCAGGTGTAACTCCAAGAGCAGACAGGTCCATTATCTTGCATGGCCCCCAGCCCTGAAAGTTCCTTGTGGTTGGATGTACACTAATTGGTTGAACCTTACCTTATTACCTACAAAATGGGCCTACAGGGCTGGGGATATACTCTGTGGTAGATTGCTCATGTGTGAGGTTCTAGCTAGGTTCAACTCTCTGCACAGCAAAAATTAGGAATATCAAGTATGGCAGGAGGCTGACTGGGGTGTAGTTTAGTAGTGAGGTCCCCTACAGTATGGCAGGAGGCTGACTGGGATGTAGTTTAGTAGTGGGGTCCCTTACAGTATGGCCAGAAATTTTGATTGATTTTACTGTAGGAACTTCGAGTGGGCCACTGCACATCTGACAGCCACCAGACTGTCCAAGATGGGTGGTGTTAGTGTCCTGTCTGGAGAGCGAGACACCATTCACTTGGAGGATGAAGTGAAGTCGTGTGTGTGAAAGCAACCACTTAATAGTGTATGCTCAGGTGTCCTGCTTGCTATGGGAGACCAGATCAGCCTGTGGGAGGGGCTTAATAGGAGGAGAAAGGTGACCCAAGAGATGAGACCTATGGGAAACCGAGTGACTGAAGACATCTTGTGCTGCAGCCTGGAGATGGTCTGGGTGGGGTGGACAGAAGGAGCAGTGCACACACCTTTGACTTGTTCCTTGTGGGTGGCGGTGGGGCTTGGCTTTACTACCCTTTTAGGTACAGCTGGGCATGTCCAAACCACACAAGATAATGGTAACACGTAACACCAAACCAAGGCTGGGTTGGGGGAAATGAGAACTGCTGCATGTCCTGAGGTGATGAAGGTTGTCCTGTGTACCAAGAGGGATGCAGGTTAGGATATCTTTATTCAAATAATACCGGCCAAGCACAAGCCAGAGCGTGCCCAGAGGCAGCAAGCTAGGTAGGCCAGAGAGAGAGAGCTCCCACTTGTCTGCTGTAGCTAGCTCTTAGGAAGCATGGTTACAGTGTCTCCCTACAGTCCTGGGCAGGGAGAGTGCCGTTCCTTCCACCATACAGGGCTCACATGTACATTAGAGGGTTTGAGATCCTGATTTGGCTCTCAAAAGGCCATGCCAGCAATTAGCCATGGTCATGCTTAAGGCTGACGTGGAAGTGAAACACTCGGGGACCTCTGCTGAATGCCTCACAGCTGAGGCACAGAAAGCAGGTGCAGACTGAGGAAGACATATGTACTTGCTACTCTGGAGGCCCTTGCTCTTGTCCTTGGCAGCCAGGGAATGTGTCCTGGAGAAACTAATGTTCAGTGGGAGTTGGTACTGAATTCAATTGCAGGATAAAATTGCAGTGTTTGTTCCCCTATGTCTGGAGGGAGGAGGTTTCCAGGTATTTGCAGCTTCCGTGACAGCAAGGGAACAGGAGGGATTGTAGTCTTAGTTACAGGAAGCTTGTGGTGACACCGCACATTACAACTGCCAAGTGAAAGGTCCAGGAAGCAGTGTCCCCTGATGTGGTTGTCCCACAAATGGGTCTGAGGATATCCCTAGTGAATATGAGAAGACAGCAATAGAGAACAGGCAGATAAGCCTTGTTCCTTTGGGTTGGGCACCTACAGTTCCCAAAAAAATTAAGTTTATCACTGAGAAGAGGAATCTTCTGGAGCAGTTCATAATGGCACACATGGAGAGGACTTGAGGGGAAGGGGAGAGGTCAGGAACAGCAAACCTAAATGGCTGGTGGTGAGGTCATACCCAGGAATTCTCTGCTCTGTGGGAGCAAGGGGACCCGGGAGGCAGGATCCAGAGTTCAAGTTGCCTTCAGCTCTTTGGGTTTCAGTAAGGACATGGTATTTTCTAGAAGGAAGAGTCCATTTCCTTTCTGCCAGTTTGGCCATAGACCTATAAGAGCAGCAGTGGCCCTCATTTGGGCATAACCCTGCCCAGAACAGCTTTCTTTGGTAAACCAGCTAGAGAGAGGGTGCCTTGGCACTAAATTGAGATCTCAGCCATGCCTGGCCTCTAGGGCAGGACTTCTGTAGTTCCTTGTGCAGAAGGAGGGAATGGGGAGCTCCAGGCAGCAAAGGCTCACTGGAGATTGCTGAAAGAGCCCCTCCATGCCTCTTCTGTGGTTTGTCATGAGTAACAAAGCACCATCCCACACCTTCCACGACACAGACAACTGCTGCCAAGGTTTCCCTGGGCACAGGCAAAGTGGAATGAGCCGGTGAGCTGGGGTGAGGATCTTGGCACTTGAGTCAGTAATGCCAACTCGAAGCCTCAGCTTCCTCCTGTGAAGTAGCCATTGCGCCTTGCAAGGCAACATGCAACCATTGCAGGCAACTAGTCATTCCTTTGGCAGTCTAGTCAGATGAGTAGGTGGAAGGAGAGAGGGGTAAATTTCAGTGCAGAAGTTGGAACTCCAGACAAGTCCTCGGCTCTTGTGAGAGCTGTGGTCTGTGGCTTCCCCCAGTCTGAGGGCTCCTTAGAGAAAGGCTTGCCTACCTTCTCTCAGCTGAGGTTGCTTCAGAAGGCAGGCATGTCTCCTAACAGGCTAGTCATCCCCAAAGGCAGGGTTACCAATTTTCCTGGCTAGGAATGCCTATGGTATCTGTGATCCTTGCTGTGTCTCCTCAGCCAGGTGTCTCCTATAATCAGCTTTGAGGCTTTTCTGTCTTGGGGCTCACTGGATTTAGGACTGTCTTGTTGAAATTTGGGCTCCTAAGGACAATGCTGCAATCTTCTATAGTTGGGCCCTTCTAACTCTCAGATAAGGAGTAGGATTTTTTAGTTTTCTGCTTCCTCAGGCCTGGCTCTTCCTTCCAGAGAGGCTCAGCTTCAGATGAGTGAGTATGAGTATTTCTGGTGACCTTAGGGTTGGGGCTCCACCCAAGGAGTTAGCTTCCTGGCCTCAGGTGCCTTGCCTGCTCAACAGAGCTGGCAAGCAAGCTTCCCCTAATTCTCCATCCTACTGACACTGCTGACAAACAGGGATTGGAAGGCAGAATACAATGAGTCACACACTTGGGTCTGGGCCTGCCTTCGACTTACTCCTCCCTTATTCTCTACCCTGCTTACATGCTCTCAAGGAAATGGGTTCTCAGCAGTCTCCAGCCCACAGCTCTGTCACCTCTTGGACCATCGTCCTCACCACAGCTTGGGTAAGAAGAGAATGGTCTGAATGAGATTCAGTTGTAACTGTGTGTGTGGCTGACCCAAAGAACCACTTAGGGTTAGGATAGGTCTTCAGAGCTAGGTTATGTCTAATTTACCCTCACTAGTCTCACAATGGGGATGCTCTCTCTCTCTCTCTCTCTCTCTCTCTCTCTCTCTCTCTCACGTACACATCCTCTCAGGTCTCAGATCTTTAGCAATGAACAGCCATAACTTTCTCGCATACACAATACAGCCTCAGTTGTGTGTGGGTGCAAGTCTGTAGTTGGTAGAAGCAGGAGAGCAGGAGCTCAAGGTCTTCCTCAGCTCTGTAGCAATTATGAGATCACAGAGCTACAGGAGACCCTATTAAAAAGATCAGGGCTGGAGAGATGGGTGGTTCAGTGGTTAGAAGCAAATACTGTTATTGAAGAGGACCTGAGTTTTGTTCCCAGAACCCATGTGTAGTGATGTATTATTTGTGATTTATTAAAGCTTGCCTGAAGATTCAGAAAGCAAAGTCAGCCACAAGCCATAGAAGCCAGGCACACACCTTTAATCCCAGCAGCCAGAAGCTAGGAGGTGGTGGTACACACCTTTAATCCTAGGACTCAGGATTAAGAGGTAGATGAATCTTTGTGAGTCCAAGGCCACCCAGATCTACACAAGATTGAATCAGTCTAAAAGAGAATTACAGTTCACACCTTTAATCCCAACATTAGGGAAGTACATAGGACAGAAGCAGGGTCTCAGAGAGGCATTCATTCTTCAGCCACTCTGAGGAAAGTTTACAGTCTGAGGCTTGGTGAGAGCTGGTGGAGATAGGACCAGCCCATTTAGCCTGAGATAGAGGTTAGAAGCTAGTGGCCAGCTGCTTTGCTTTTCTGATATTCAGCTTGAAGCTTAAATCCCAATATCAGTCTCTGGGTCATTTATTTATTTGTGTTACATATTGGCATCCAGCCATCTCAGATGGCTCGAAGCTCCAGCTCCAAGGGGGATCTGATGCTCTCTTCTGCCCTTAGAAGGTACCTGCACTCATGTGCACATACACACAGAGATACATGTGTACACATAATTAAAAAATAAAATCTAGCAGGGCAGTGGTGGTGTACACCTTTAATCTCAGCACTTGGGAGGCAGAGGCAGGCAGATCTCTGTGAGTTTGAGGTCCACCTGGTCTACAAAGCTACACAGAGAAAACTTGTCTCAAAAAACCATAAACAAACAAACAAACAAATCTTAGCCAGGTAGTGGTAGTGCACACCTTTAACCCTAGCACTCAGAGGCAGAGGCAGGTCGATCTCTCTGAGTTTGAGGCCAGCCTGGTTTACAAAGAGAGTTAAGGACAGCCAGGGCTACACAGAGAAACCCTGTCTTGAAAAAACAAAAATAAAAAAATAAAAAGCAAAATAAAATCTTGGGCTGGAGACACAGCTCAGCACTTAAGAGTATGTGCTCTTGCAGAGAACCTGAGTTCAATTTCCAGTATCCATGTCAGGTGGCTCAAACCACTGTGACTCCAACTTCAGGGGATCAGATACCAACCCCCCCCCACACACACAGAGAGAGAGAGAGAGAGAGAGAGAGAGAGAGAGAGAGAGAGAGAACATACAGAGAGAGAGAGAGAACATACACAGGCACACAGAGAGAGAGAGAGAGAGAGAGAGAGAACACACACACACACACACACAAATATGATTTAAAATAGATACAATTTAAAAATCCCCCCCCCAAATAGCCAAGCATTGATAGTACACACTTTTAATGCCAGTGCTTGGGAGGCAGAGGTGGCTGATCTCTGTAAATTTGAGTCTAGCCTGGTCTTCAGAACTAGTTCCAGGATCAACAAGGCTATACAAAGAAACCCTGCCTCGAAATGACAACTCCCCCCACCACTGCCCAACCAGAAAAACTTAAAAAACCACAACATTCCCCCTAGATACACACATACACACAACACATCTTTGTCATTCACAGATAGATCCCATAACCACTCACTACAAACAACACACAAATTGTTATCAACTGGCACAATATCTCTGTTGACCATTTGCCGGATGAAACACATATCTGAATGCTGGGACTTTGTATTAACATTTGACAGGGAGAAACATATCATACCTCCTGGCTTGTGCATGTTCATTCTTCAGGAAGTTGTTGGCTATTCTTGGATCTTTGCTTTTTTATTTGGGATTTAAGCAGTCAACTTGTGAAGTTCCTTGGAAAATTCTCTTGGGATATGAATGTGCATGTGTGCCTTGTGTACATGTGTGTGCTGATGTGCAAACCCAAGCACACTCATGCAGAAGCCAAAGAAGGATGGTCTTCTTTGGCTTCTATCGCTCTCCAATTTATTTTATTTTATTTCCAGACAGGGTTTCTCTGTGTATCCCTGGCTGTCCTGGAACTCTCTTTGTAGGCCAGGCTGGCCTCGAGCAAGTGCTGGGATTCAAGGCATAAGGTCCTGCAGCTAGTTTTGAACTCAGTATGTAGCCAAGAATGACTTTGAACCCCTGAAGCACCTGTCTCCACCTTTCTTTTTTTCTTTTTCTTTCTTTCTTTCTTTCTTTCTTTCTTTCTTTCTGTCTTTCTTTTTTTTTTTTTTTTTTTTGGTTTTTCGAGACAGGGTTTCTCTGTGTAGCTTTGGAGCCTATCCTGGCACTCGCTCTGGAGCGCGGGCTGGCCTCGAACTCACAAAGATCCGCCTGCCTCTGCCTCCGAGTGCTGGGATTAAAGGTGTGCACCACCAATGCCCGGCCTGTCTCCACCTTTCAAGTGCTGGGATTACACATTCAAGCCACATACCCGGTTGTTTTAGTTCTTTGGGGCCGAAGCACGTGTTAATGATGCTTTGACCTGTAAGGAGACATTTTATCGTTGACGAGGAACATCACCGTGATTGCAACAGAGCAAGGGGCTAGCCCAGCTACTTGGAACTGAGGTTGGGCAGTGTGTGGAGACCCCTGCCCTCTTGGCTCTGTTTTGCCATGTGTCACTGTGAGACAGACTCTGGTCCTTTCTGGGCTTCAGCTTCCCGAAGTGTAGGAGGGTGTTGGTTCCACTAGTACCTGAGGGCTTGTGTCCTTAGACAGTGTCTATCATGGGACCTGGTGCTGACTGCTCAGGGTGTGCTGGTCAGATGGCTGAATCAATGAAAGCTAGAGGCTCTGGCTTCTCTCACACAAACTCACTGGAGTTCCACTCCAGCTGCCCACACCTCTTCACCCTCACTTATTCCCATGAACTCACTCACAGCTAACCTCTGGCTCAGGGGTTTGAGAAGTTTCCTCCTTCCTCCAGCCCTGTGGCTCTGTGTTCCCATGGGTTTCTTGGAGCCAATGCTTCTTGGTCACCAGGGATGCCCTGCCCAGCCTTAATGAGCACAGCTGTACTTCCAGCTCTCTCTTCTCATCCTTTTCCTTGTCTATGGCCTCTCCCTCTCTCTCTTCCCTACAGAGGTACACACACTCATATGTTCATCCACGCACATTCGGCACACTCTGTAGCTCACGCTTTTCTCTTGTCTGTTGTTCCCCTCCCTCTGTCTCTTCTGTTCCTTTCCCTTCCGACTCCCTCTCACCCTCTTCCTTGTGCTAACCGGTTATTTTGGCCACTCCCCCTCTCGCTCCCCTGGCTCATCCTGGCCCACTGCTTTGTATACCCACTCTGCCCCTTGCTTGCTCTGCAGGAAGCCTCTGCAGTACTCAGGTCTGGCAAGCTCAGCTTGGAGGTTCCGGTGGCATCCGTTGGAGGGGCCCTGGGTCACCGTGTTTCCTCCCGGGGGGTGACTTGGCAGTGCTATGCTCTGTTTCCTCACTTCTGCAATTGCCAGGCTACAACACAGAGGCTAGCGCTGGGGCTTAGACCCGGAGGGACACGCAGAGCCTACAGTGAGAAGTCTACAGGTAAGAAGGACCCAGTCCCGGCTGGGCAAGGGATAACCCTACACAGATGTCCTCAGGAGGCCAAAGTCATGGCCCCAAGCCACACCAAAGCAGACGAATGGCTTTTAAAGAATCATTCTGGCATTTTTTTTTCCTCAGGCTAAGCTTCATGTTTAAAAAGAGCTTTTTTTTTGCTGCACATCAGGCCAGCCCCAGGACCTCATGCATGCTTGGGTGGTGCTCTACCATGGAGCTCTGTTGTTAGCCCTCTTGTATTTTTGTTTTTATTTGCTTGTTGTATGTATTTGTGTGTGTGTCACGGTGCACCTGTATTGGTCAGAGGACAGTTTGTGGGAGTCAGTTCTCTCCTTCTCTCATCTATGTCCTGGGGCTTGACTTTAGTTCTGAGGCTCAGCAGTGGGTGACTTTACATTGAGTTATCTCACAACCCCCTACCTTTGTTTACATCAGGTTCTTAAAACTGCTGAGGCTGGCCTTGAACTCACTGTGTAGCACAGGCAAGTCTTGGATTTTTTTTTTTTTACTTTTTAAAGATTTATTTATTTATTTATTTTATGTGTATGAGTGTTCTGCCTGGCCATGTGTATGCGCACCATGTGTGTGCCTGGTGCAGAAAGAGTTGAGAAGAAGGGGTCAGGTCCCTAGAACTGAGTTAGAGTTGGTTGTGAGCCACCATGTAGCTGTTGGGAACAGAACCTGGGTCCTCTCCAAGGGCAGTCAGTGCTCTTAACCCCTGAGCCATCTCTCCAGCCCCAAGCCTTGGTTTTCAGTCCTCTCGCAGCATTCTGAGTAGTTGGCATTTCTGCACTGTCATTGGCCCTGATTTAGGAAGAATTTCTTGGGACTGAACATTCCAGAGAACTTGTCTTTTCTGACACTAAGCTGGAGCCAGTGTGACCTTACTCACTGGGAGGCAATGACAGTGACTAGAGGCAGCTACTTAGAGCTCTAAGAGGAGAATGCCATTCCTTTTACTAGCTGTGTGAAGTTATTCGCCCTCTCTGTGACCAGCTCCCCTGAAGGCTTTTGAGGAGGAGGGTGAGCTAAAGGGTCTGGGACAGGGCTGAGTACTTGGGACCTCACTCACGGCTGCATTTCCC